GGAGCAGAAGTGGCGTCCCATTCCCGAGGTCCTGCGCCGCGACTGGCAGCTCCGCCGGCGCGAGGAGGGGCGCATCAGGTGAGGCTAGGGACCCCCTGCTCAGTGTCACCCTTGGGGACAGAGCAGCCAGGCTGGGGGTCCCCTTTCCCCTGAGGATGAGGGCACCCACTGAGCCCGGCCAGGGTGAAGCCCCGCGGTGGGTAACACCAGAATCAGGAGTCCCAAGCCCCCTGGGAAATGGTGGCTGCTGTCCCCAGGGCCAATCACGGTGGCTCCACCAGCTGCTTGGGAAGGGTGATGGGGACGGTGGCACAGGGGTTGATGGCAGCACTGGGGTAGGGGGGAGCCAACGCTTCCCTCCCACTGCCAGCAAGCTCCGCAAGTCAGTGTCAGACCCCGTGCGGCTGAGGACCCTCACCGGGGACTGGTTCTGCGATGCCCGCGCCCAGCGCCACCGGCACCACCTGGGCTCTGACCTCGTCCGCGCCTCCATCCGCCGCAGGAGGCGGCCCCAGGGTAGGCGAGGGACATGGACGCGGGGGGACACCGGGGGCCAGGGCTCAGCCCGCTGAGATGCCTGATGTCCCCAGGAGAGAGGGACTCAGAGTGTGGCCCCAGCCTGGGCGAGCTGGAGGGCATCAGTGAGCCACTGGCAGAGGAGAAGGAGGATGAGGATGGTGTGGCAGAGCAGGAGGAGAGGTGAGGGGGGGCTCTCACCCCATGGGTGCCCCAGCGCTGGTGGCATCTCTTATCCCTGCGGTGGGTGGCATGGCCCCGGGATGCCCAGAGGGAGCTGGGGAAGTGGGAGCAGAGCCCGTGGCGGAGGGGATGGCATGGTCAGACCTGCACTGTCCTGGCATCTGTCCGCTGTCCTGGTGTCTGTCTCTCCCCCACCCAGGGGGTTTTCTGCAGCCCTGCTGGACCCCGGCTCTATAAATAGCTGCAGGGATGCAGGGAGGGGAGAAAGTGCTCGTTAGCCTGATGCCTTGTCAGGAGAAACTAATTATCGTCTCTTTTCACAGCCCCCCTACGGAGGAGGCGCAGGCAGCTGCAGAGCCCCAGGTCGGTGCCTGGCGTGGGGATTGAGCTGGCACAGCAGAGCCTGCAGCCGGTACCCAATGCCCTGGTGATGGGTTCAGTCAGTGAGGGAGCCTGGACCCCCCCAGGCTGCTGTGGCCCCAGAGGGGGGGAGCTGCGGTGTCACCCCAGGAGGGTGCTGCCTTTGGGGCCAGCCTTGTGCGCAGTCTTGCAAAGTATGATCCTGAACCCCGAGGTGTGGGGAGTGATGGGGGCGTCCCATGGGACATCCCCCACCCTGTCCCTGGGGACCCAGAGGGGCTGCACTGAGGGGAGCAGGCGGGGGAGAGGAGGGTGCCTGGGCTGTCCGTTTTCACCCTTTCTCCTATGTGCCACCTCAGCCCAGCCCTGCGGCCCCGGCTCTGGAGGAGACCCCAGTGTCACAGCCCCCATGGCAGGGTGACGTCTCGGTGAGGGAGCAGGACATCCCAGCCCAGCCAGGTAACCAAGATTTGGGGGGCGTCAGTGCCCCCAGCGCTGCTTACGGGCCTCTTGCCTCCTCCCAGCCCCCTCATCCTGGCCCCCCATCCCTTGCTTGCCTGCTCACTCCACTTGCTGAAAAAATGGGACCCCCCCATTCCTATCCATCCCTGCTGCGTCGGGACCCCCCGCCCACACCGCGCCCTTGCAGGTGACACAGTAGATGAGAACCCCTTTGGCACATCCAGCGCAGAGGAAGACGAGGAGGAGCCCGACTCCGCACGCAGCGGCCCCGATGCTGGGCAGGTGGGATGGTGGGACTGGAGGGGCTCTATGGGGCTGGAGGGGGATGTATAGGGCTGGGGGGACTGTATGGGGCTGTCTGGGGCGTGCAAAGCTGGCACGGCACGGGCTGTGCCCAAGCACCAGGCACTTGCTGGGAGCTGGGTGCCCTCAGGAGCCCGCACTGGGGATGGGGTCTGGGGGGGTGGTGCTGACCCCCTCTTTGCTTTGCATTTCCAGGGGCCGGGGCCCCCCCAGATGGCTCAGGCATCCCCGGGTTGGGTGCCCCCACAGAACAGCCATGCGCCCCCGAGCAGCCTGCTGACCACCAGCTCCTCCGTGTCCAGCCTCAGCTCCTCCACGGTACAGGGCTGGGGGCTGCAGGGGCGGGGGGGTCGCCTCTCCAACCCCCATCTCCGGGGCCCTAACCCTGTCCCCCCGCCCCACAGCTGAGCGGCAGCCTGATGAGCCTGTACAGTGAGGGCGAGCTGGGCAGCGTGGCTGTGCAGGGCTGCGTCCAGTTCTCCCTCCGCTACGACCTGGCCAAGAAGGAGCTGCAGGTCCACGTGCTGCGGTGCCGTGAGCTGGCCGAGGCCAAGAAGCAGCGCTCGGACCCGTGAGTGCCCCGGCCCCGAGCAGCGATGCCCGGGCAATGCCCATGGTGGTACCCGTTGCATCCACCCCATTTTTTGGCTCCAGGTACATCAAGACATACCTGCTGCCGGATAAGTCCAACCGCAGCAAGCGCAAGACCACAGTGCGGAAGAGGAGCTTGGATCCCATCTTCAATGAGACCCTCAAGGTTTCTAACCCTGCTTTGGGGTGGTTTTGGCAGGGAGTCCGCCTGGTTCAAGGTGGGATGGATGGGTGGGGGTGGATAACCTCACCCTGTGTCCCCTCCCCACCAGTACAAGCTGGAGAAGAGGGACCTGCAGGGCCGGACCCTGAACCTCTCGGTGTGGCACCATGACAGCCTGGGCAGGAACCTTTTCCTGGGGGAGGTGGAGATCGCACTGGCCACCTGGGACTGGGCCAACACACGCCCCGAGTGGTTCCACCTCCAGCCCCGAGTGAGTCCACAGCCTCCCCCAGCCCATCCTCCCCCCAGCCACAGCCCCCCATAACCCCTCCATCCTCCCCAGATGCCCATCTCCTCGGATGGCCTCACCAGCCGGGGCAACCTCAACTTGGCATTGAAGTTCATCCCCGCTGGCTCAGAAGGTGAGAGGTGCCTGCGGGCACTGGGCGGGGGGTCCGGCGTGGCAGGGTGCCCCTGACCCCTCTCGCCTGCAGGCGGGGGGCTGCCACCCACGGGCGAGCTGCACATCTGGGTGAAGGATGCTCAGAGCCTCATCCCCCTGCAGAGCGGCACCGTGGATGCCTTCGTGCAGTGGTAAGGCGGGGTGGCACCCTGGGGGCAGCTGGAGGGGCTGGGGTGTGTGTGTGTGTGTATCCCTCACCCTGCTGTCACCCCCAGCTACGTGCTGCCGGATGACAGCAAGGCGAGCCGGCAGAAGACGCGGGTGGTGAAGCGGAGCCTCAACCCCCTCTTTAACCACACCATGGTGTACGACGGCTTCCAGGCCAAGGACCTGGCCGAGGCGTGCGCTGAGTTCACCCTCTGGCACCACGAAGCCTTTTCCAAGCGCCAGCTGGGCGGCATCCGGCTCAGCCTGGGCACAGGTGAGGGCGGGGGAGCCCCGGGCACCCCGGGGTGCTCCCGGTGGCTTGGACAGGGTGGTAGCAACAGTGTGGCCGGGGAGTGACGGCAGTGGTCTCTCCACAGGGAGCAGCTATGGGTTGCCGGTGGGCTGGATGGACTCGACGGCGGAGGAGCGGGGGGTGTGGGGATGCCTGCTCCAGCAGCCTGGGCAGTGGGTGGAAGCACTGCTGCCCCTGCGGACCAACCTGGTCCCCCGGGCATAGCCTCCAGCCCCCATGGACCACCCAGGGCCAGCGAGACTACAGGACTTGGGGGGGGACGGAGCTGCACCCGGAGCATCACTGTGTGGGGCTGGGGTCTGTGCCCGCCCCGGCCTTTCGGCAGCAATGAAGTGGCACCAGAGGGCACATTTGGCGTCTGTCTATTGCTGTGGGCACCGTACCCTGACTTGTCCCTCCAGCGTGGGGCTGGAGCCGCTGCATCCGCCTGCTCCCAGCATGAGGCTGTCCCCTCCGTCACCATCCTGCCAGCCCCCGTGGTGGCAGCCCTGGGGCTCCGGTGCCTGGGTTGCCTGGGGTTGTGTCACAGCGCTGGGGCCAGGACTCACTCCCCTTCCCACTGGGTGAGGGTCCGGCGATGCTCCAGGATGGCTGCCCAGAGGCGGTACGCTGGCCCACGCCTGCTGGGACATGGGGGGCTGTTGGAAGGAGGAGGCCAAGCCATGTCTCCCCACCCAGCGTTGCCACCCTGCTCTCCCCACCCCAGCCAGGCCAGGAGGGGCAATGCGGGCTGCAGGTACCTGATGCCCACGTAGAAGAGGTCGTCACGGGTGGCACAGTCCAGCAGGTCCCGCAGGGTGAAGCCGTGGGAGAGGAGCTGTGGGAGGGTGTTGGGGGGCAATGCTGGGGGGCTGCCCTGCTCATGCCAGCAGGGCCCAACCCCCAGCCCCCACATAGCTCCATGTGCCCAGTAGCCACGGGCCTCACCGTGGCTATGGTGGCCGGGTCCGTGCCGTGCTGCTGCAGCCACTCAAGGAGGAGGGGGTCAGCCTGTCCCTGGTGGGGCTGGGGGCTCAGGGGTGACTGATCCTGCCCCAGGGTGAAGCACCCCGGGGGGTCCTCCCCGTGCCCCACACTGTGCTGGGGCCGGCTGGGGACTGCAGTGTCATCATCCCCGGAGCGAAGCACCCGCTGCATCAGCCACTGCCACTCCTGCTCCTTCTTGGCCAGCTCCTGGAGCAGCCTGCGGGAGCGTGGGGCACAGACTGGCACCCGGGGGGTGGCACGGACTGGCAGCCAAGGAGACAGAGGCACAAGGACCAGTGAAGCCCTACCTGCCTGTCTCCATGCGGAGGTGGCAGAGCTGTGTCACCAGCACCGAGGGTGCCTGCAGAGAGGGCAGGGGGTCCGCCCGGGTGCTGGGGCCAGTGCTGAGCCCTGAATTGGTGTTGAGCCCCGAACTGATGCTGTCCCGCTGGGGCTGGCTCCTGGGGATGGACAGCCTCGGTGGCATGGGGTCGTCCTCGTCACTCGTGTCCTTGGTGCCATCCTGCCCCAGGCAGCCAGCCTTCGGTCCCAGGTCTATGAGGGCAGAGGTGGTGGTGGGCACAGAGAGGTGCCCACTGGCCTTGGATCCCAGAGCATGGGGGACAAAACGGGGAGCTGGGCCCAGCCAAGGCTGCCCCAGTGCTGGCTCCCCCCTCATAGTCCTTTCCCAGCAGCCCAAAGTTCCCCAGCCCACCCCAGGCCAGCCGCCCTCTTCCTCCACCCACCCAGCCATGGTGGTGGGACCCAGACCCACATCCCGGCCGTCCCCCAGTGCCACCCACCTCTCAGCAGCACGGTGAAAGCCGCCTGCACTGCCTGGCTCACGGCATCGTCCAGTGCAAACATCCAGTGGGGTTTGATGTGATGCCTGCGCAGCACCCATCTCACCTGGAAGGGGCAGAACTGTGCCAGGGCATTGCTGTGCCAGGGCATCACCTCCACTTGGGCATCACCGTGCCAAGGCATCACCCACTCATCGCCCTACCACTCCACCCTGGGCACTCACTGCTGCCTGGAAGCTGAAGAGGGGAGCCTGGAGGTGGGGGAGGCTCAGCCCCTCCGCCCACAGCCGGGTGTGCAGTGCCAGGAGGTCCTGGCGCAGCTGGTGCTGGCAGGGGCACTGGATGTAGCTCCGCAGGCAGCTCAGCAGCTGGGCAAGATCCTCCGAGCCCAACCTCGCACCCACTGTGCTCTAGGTGGGCAAAGGAGATGATCAGGGGCTGCCACCATGCCCACCCTCTACCCAGCTGCTGCGCAGACCCCCCCACCCCAGGCACCCAGCACCCACCTGGCTCTCCTCCAAGGCAGCGATGATGCCCGGCGCCTCGACGGTGAGGATGCGGTACAGCGTGGCCCGGCGCTTGCTGTCCTTCCGCAGGAGGAACCCGTCCCCGATCTCCTCAGGGGAGGACGAGCGCAGGCTGTGGTTGGAGCCGGCCGAGTCCTGGGTGGTGCTGGTGGGAGGTGGGGAGGGTTGGCACTGCCCCCCCCAGCCTCAGGCATTTAGGAGTGTGGCCCCAGGGTGGGCACAGCCTTTGGGCTTGGCAGAGGGCATGGGGGACCTCCTGCAAGCCTCCCAAGCCATAACGGGGAGGAATGTGATGCCCTGGCACAATGAGGGAGCATCGCGGGGTGCAGTGCTGGGACGTGGCAAGCGGAGTGGGTGTCATGGGAGGCAGAAAGCCACCCCCCCCACACCCCAGGTCCCTCCATCACCCCCATGTCCAGGATGCCCTACCCCAAGTAGCTGCGGCTGGAGGCTGCCTCGCCAGGGTGGCAGGGGAGCAGGGGGCTGCCCCCTGTGCCCCTCCCTGGGGCGTCCTGCCTGGCTGAGGAACATCCCCTGGTCCCATCAGTGCCCTCCACATCCCCATCCTGCTGCTCAGAGTCAGGGGGATCACCTGCCAGGGAGATGATGGAGATGGTTATTTAGCAGCTCATGCCAGGACCCCTCATCCTGCCCCCCCAGACTCACCCCTCACCAGGGGCATGGGCCGGCTGCGGGCCCTCCTGATGCCAGCAAGGAAGGGCTCCTGCAGCAGTGCTGCAGCCGTCGCCCGCTCAGCCGGATTGGCCTGGAAGCAGCGCAGGATGAACATCTTGGCTTCGTCCGACATGGACTCGGGCACCTCCGGGTGCATCTTGAACATGCCCACCTGGAGGGGAGGCACTCGTGGGGGCTGCAGAGGTACAAGCCACCCCAGGGAGGGCAATTTCAGGGCTGCAGAATGCTCCCATCCCCTGCCCAACCCCATGGATACCTTGAACATTGCAGCCTGGGGGCTGCCCAGCTCGTAGAAGGGGGGCTTGCCCGTGGCCATCTCAATGATGGTGCAGCCCAAGGACCAGATATCCGCTGGCTTCCCATAGCCCCACGGCCCCTGGTCAATGATTTCTGGGGCCATGTACTGCAGGGTGCCTGGGGAGAGGATGAGGAGGGTGGAGAGGAGCCCGTATCCATCACCTAAACTCCCCCTTGGGGGGGTCCTCCTTCTCCCCATGCCGGGTGCAAAGGATGCAGACTCCAGCATTGCCTGGTCCGCAGCAGCCCACTGCCCCCAGCCCCAGGCTGCCCTTACCTGTGAAGGTCTCGGCGCTGGGGCTGATGCCTGCCAGCCGCTTGGAGGTACCAAAGTCGGAGATCTTCAGTACCCCGCTGTACGTGTTGATGAGGATGTTGTCTCCCTGGTGTGAGAAGGGCACCCCGAAATAAAACCAAGCCACAAAAAGTTCCTGGAGCTCGAGCAGGGCTATTGGGCATCAACCCAGCAGCTATGGGCACAGAGGGGCAACTGCCTGGTGCCCCCCGAGATCAGGGGGTCAGGCCTTGTGCCCCAGGATGGGCGATGCCCCCCAACCCCTCACCTTGATGTCGCGGTGCACGATGTGGTTATCGTGGAGATAGCTGAGCCCGTCGAGGATCTGGCGGGTGTAGAAGACGATGGTGGGCTCGTTGTCCTTCAGGGGTCCCCACTTGGAGCGCAGCAGGGACGAGAGGCTCCCTGGAGACAGGGCATGGAGGGGGGCAGCAACCCCATTTAGACCCCGCATATGGCCACGTGTCCCCCTTTACCCCAGATCTCATCCCCACCACTGCCCACCTCCCGGCACCTCCTCCATGAAGATCTTGATGAAGCCATCCTGGCTGACGGAGCCCAGGTACTGCACGATGTTCCTGTGCCGCAGGTGCTTGTGCAAGGCGATCTCCTCGTGCAAGGGCTGTGAGTACCTATGTGGTGGGACATGGGGGTGAGGGGCTGCCCAGCGTCCCCCGGGACCCCCCGGGACCCCCCAGCATGGCACCTACCGGCTGTCCCGCTCCGGGATCTCCTTGATAGCAATGCGCACTTGGTTGCTGAGGCAGCGCCCAGCATAGACGATCCCGTACGTCCCCCTGCCCAGGACCACCCGCTCGCCCGCCTCCGAGTACTCGTAGCTGTACTGCAGGCAGAGATGTGGGTTGGCAGCCTGTGCCACGCAGTGCCCCGTGTCACCCCATGCCACCCTGTGTCCCCATCTCACCTCCAGGACGGGCTGTGTGGGGCTGGGCACCTCCTCGCCGCCCACTGCCTGCTTGGCCAGGAGGGACTGGATCCAGTCGCAGAACCTGCTGGCAGGAGGACAATGGTCCTGAGCCCCAGTGAGGATGCTGGGGACCCAGCCACTGACCCCCGGCACAGAGGGGCTCCTGGTCCCCCTCCCAGTCTGTCCCCCACCAGTGGCACAGGGGGGTCTGTGCCACTCTGCTTTGTGGGACCCAGCTGCAGGGGTTGGGTCCCTAGGATCCCTTTCCCCTAAAATTAAGGTAGGGAAGAAATAGCATGCTCCCATTCCTCCCCGCTCACCAGGGCAGTGACTGGGGGTCCCCCACGCCCCCACCAGCAATGTGAGGGTTCCTGTGCCCCCCAACCCTCTGCTCACCACTGGCAGTGCTGCTGAGAGGGGAAGTAGAGCTGGAAATCCTCCTCCATGTGCATCACATAGAGGAAGCAGCCCCGTTCGTCACACTTGCAGATGCTGGAGGGAGAGGACCCCCACCCCATCAGCAGTGGGGCTGATGCTGCCCACAGGGTGGGCAGAGGGGCTGCAGGCACACGGGGGCATCCTCGGTCCTGCTGGCAAGCGGACCCGGGACATGCTCACCTGACGCCCCGGATGGCTGTGGCTGCAAAGGTCCAGCTCGATGCCGCCTTCTGCAAGAGAAGGGGCAGGTGAGGAGGGGGTCGGTGGGGACCCCCCCAGCCGCCCCCAGCCCCATCCCTACCTCCTCCGCGGGGCAGACAAGGGCAAGCGTCAGTGTAGGCTCCTCCATGCCACCATGCAGTGCCAGCTGGGCTGGCCGCAGGACCTTGCTGAGCTCCAGGACCAGGACCTGTGGCAGCAGGGGGCTGCAGGGTGAGCCCCCCCCCCTGCCGGGTCCCCAGCCTGCATCCCTGCACCCCCATCCTGCCCCCTGGGTTGGCACTGGTGGGCTGCTCTGTGCCTCCCCACAGCCCCGGTGAGCCCAGGGACAGCCACCCCGGGCTCAGTGGGGCCCCTCACCGGGCAGCACGGCGTGGCGACGAAAGGCTGGCATGCCTTGAGGAGGAAGCCCAGCCAAAAATCAGCCAGCTCCTGCCGGGCAGAGGGGACCTGCGGGCTCCTCTGGAAGTGTTTGTAGAGCAGGAAGGTGTCCATGACCGAGATCAGGTACCTGCAGGGATGCGGGGGGCAAGAGAGGAGAGAGAGATGTCCCCCACACCCCCTAAAAGCCCCTAAACCCCATCCTGGGGCACAGCCACCGGGGACTGGAGGCCCAGTCTCACCCAGGTGGGCACACGCTGTGCTGTGCCATACCAGCCCGGTGCATTAAGCTTGTAGAGCTTCTCAGAGGCTTGGATGACTTTGCCGAGGTCGTTGGCCAAGATGCCGGCTCCGAGGCAAAATCCCACATCCCAGTAGTAGTGCAGCTCCCCCGGGCTGCCCTTGCGACCCTGCAGGCAGCTCAGCTTCACCCCTGGAGGTGGGAGCCAGAGCCCATCACCCCTCTGCCAGCAACCCCGCACCCAGGCACAGCCGCTCCGGGGGTGCCTCGATGCCAGTGGACCCCAGTGCCTGGTCCTGATCCCTGGTGGGTCCTTGTCCCCAACCTGCGGGTGGGCACCCACCGATTTGCTGCAGCTGCACGGAGGTTTCAAACTGATGCCCAGCGGCCACGAGGAGGACGGCGGCATTGATGCCTGCGTGGAGGCTTGGCTCCACCTCGAAGGCTTTGCTGTACCTGGTCAAAGATGCTGGGTGGAGGGCATGTCTGCTGCCACCCCCCTGCCAGCCAAAATGCGGCTGGCTCGGGGGCCTGGAGCTGCCCCCCCTG